TATTTAATAAATAAAAAAACCAAAGATTTTTGTTGTGCACAATTCAGTTTTTTTAATACTGTATTATTTTAATTTGTATAAGTCATATAGTAATAGTTGTTTATTGTTGTATTCAAGTTTTGGTACTATTGGGTTGGTAAGAAATTTTTCTCGTTTTTTTTCGTAAAGAAGATTATGCTGAGCGTTTGGGGGGAGTAAGAGGGATTATTCATTGTGAACTTCTTCCAACTAATTGCACTATCACTGCTGATCTCTATTGCCAGCAATTAGATCGGGTTGCGGCAAAACTTCAGGGGAAGCAGGATAGAATTTATTTTTCGCATGACAATGCCAGACCCCATATTGCAAAATCCACGCGTGAAAAATTATTGGAGCTCGGATGGGTTACGGTTCCACATCCATCTTATTCTCCAGACTTGGCTCCTACGGACTACCATTTGTTCCGTTTTCTTTCTAATCATTTGAAGGAGAAAAAGTTCGACGACGAAAACAACTTGGAAATGGACCTCCTCAACTTCTTCGGCCAAAAGTCGCAGGACTTCTACGAACGCGGGATCCTTTCTCTACCAGAGTGTTGGCAACAAGTCATAGATAGTAATGGAGCATACATTGTTGAAAGCTAGCTGTATTCTTGATATTAAAAAATAAAAAGAAAATTTTCAAAAAAAAACGACAAAAATTTCTTACCAACTCAATATTACGATATAAGATGATAACTTCATTCAGAATGATTTAATGCATCATTTTCAAAATATTCATATCATCCAGTTTCTGAATTTAAAACAGATTCAATGACATTCACTAAATACTAAATTTTTCTATTGAAATCATTGTGTCATACATCGTCAACTGCACAATTTAGAGAAAAAAAAATAAGTTTCAAGTTTATTAGTATTTATAATTATTTATTATGCTCTCATATTGTAATGATAAGACATAGACATGATATGAGATACCGTTGCTTTTAATAATATCCTGAGCTTGCGCCTGCTTGTCATATTTTCGATTCAATTGTTTCAAAAAAATAATAAATTATCTATATGGAACTCCAAGTTTCAATATGTAAAGTTATTTATATGAGAATCTTGAATAGAAATCTATTTTCATTAATGGTTTGAAAAAGTTCTATTTACTAATTATTGAAAATTCGTGAATCATTCGCTGTCTCCATAATTAAAAAACAATTATAACGAAAAATTATACTCATCGCAGAAAGGCAAAAAGAAAACCTATTCACGGTATTAAAAAAAACAAAGTATTCATTATTGAATCAATTTCAATGAATCATTCAATTTATACTCATGATAGAAAGACAACAAAAAAACTTACTCACTATATAAACAATATTTCTAGTTTTGTATGTTGATGATATTTCTAGCTAAAAAATTACAAAAAAATAGCACTCCAATCTCAATCAAATTTCAATATGCAATCCATCGAAGTACTCATGAGCCATCTAGCAGTTGTGTTTTTTTTTAACGAAATATTTGCTTGTACAGGAAAAATAGACTCATAAACAATCTTGTAGGAAGTAGATGCAATTCATATGATCAAATTATTCGATCTTGAAAAACGTTCAGATCTATTATGTTAAATGAAGGTAAATCCAAGTGTGTAGAAAATTCAATTACGAATCTGTCAAAAATAAAGTCAAAATTTTATGTACTGCCGGAACTGAGGCATTTGTAAGACATAAAATATTATAAAACTTTCAAATAATCAATAGTTTCTGATTGAATCCTGTTGGATTCTTGAGTCTACCCAGTGAAAAATATTTATAGAAAATAACAGTTAAGAATGCGTTCCAAAAAATTGAAAGCCCTTTTTTTAAGAAAAGAAAACGTTCTGAAAAAAATGGAAAGCATTCCAAAATGAAACGGTCTAGAATGCATTCTATCATTTTTGGAACGTGTTCTTAGTCGTTCCAAAAACGGAACGATCAACAAAGCATTCCATCACTTTTGGAATGCTTTCTCTTCTTGAGAGAAGGTACCTGTCTTGATCACACGGCTAATCATTAATGGATAAATCTTTAATTCGTCAAAAGACCATTTTCAGGGTAACTCGACGAGCTCGATCGAATGGCGTGCTCCAAATCGTTGTAACTCAAACCGTTATTAAAATCATGCTTTTTCTAAATCAGAAGTAGCATCCCCAAAGAATAACTAGCTGAAGGTTCCACCATTTCTCACATCAGTTTCAATCTGCATTGCTTCAGATCTTTGATTTTTGAATAGAAATGTGCTTTAATTCCAAAAGAAAGTATTCATCACTTAGAAGAATTCATTCTTTTAATGCTTCTCTAGAAAACGTAAACGAAAGCGATCTTATTTCGATGGATTGCTATCTGTGCCGTTCCGAAAGAGAATGAACTAGGATGGATTCTATTGGTTTAAGAATGGTTCGGAATGCTTTCCCTTCAAATAGAGAACAATTTTTCAATAGAAAAGAAAGCTTTCCGTCTTATTGTGGAACGGCAAAGAACGAGTTCCTTCAGACTGAGAGTGTTTCTTCTTGAACATGAACGCATTCACTAGCAAAAAGAACGCATTCTTTACATAGAAAAAAGGTTTTCATATTTTTATGAAATCATTCTGTTCCGTTTTTTTTCAAAATATTTTTCACTGGGTATTCGATATTATCATTCAATTTTTGAACCATTTCTGACAGTCTGATTTCGTTTGTAGACTCTGATTATATTCAGTAAAAGAAATTGGTTCAATTCAACAAGAGCTAACTGTCTGCATCTTGTCTTTTCTGATAGTTATTCAGAAATTAAAGATGTTTCCATAGATTTGTTTTCTGATGTTATGTCTATAATCATGATATTAGAGCTGAGATTATATAAATAAAAGAGCAATTCGCATTCCTTAACGTTATATTTCACACAGATGTGCTTCACATCTGTCATTGTCATTTCCGATTGTTACGGAAAGATAATTTCTCTTGAATGTATAATAACTAAGTGCACTTGTTTTGTTTTCTAAGTATGACTTCAGAAAGCCTAGAGTTTTTTATCTTGCCTCTTTTAAATGTTTTCTTTCTTATTTTCTTTTTCACATAATTTTCAATTTTATGCTATGCACTTCTTTTTATAACTTGTGGAAGAATTTCTTTTCAAGTATATATTTCGAATAGGTTATTATCATTTATGATTATCGTCATCTTGGACTCTTGCTTTTCTTTCTTCTCTAATAGACTTGTACCAAGTCAAGTCGGATTATTCGTAGAAGTATGATTGACAACAAATGTTATTGACAAGTCGTAATAATATGTCTAAAATAACTATTATTTCTTAGACCTGGTTTTAAATATAAGATTTACTGATAACTTATGAAAATGTATCCAAAATAAAATTCTAATTCAGATATGCTTCAATACAAAATACATCTGTATGGTAAATAAGTAATGAAATAAACAAACCTAATGATTGTGATAACATCATATACAGTCGTTGAGAGTATTATATACGCTCATTTATATTGGTCGTGGTATTCGATGTCATTGACTTTTGTGTAAAAAATTAATACGATGTTATTAGATTTTTGACTTTTTTTCGACGTTTTCCGTCTATCTAAGTCGATATTCTACATAACTTCTTATTGAAACCTTGTACCAAGGAAAACGACAACGTCAGAAAATATCTAATCTGAAGTGAATGGATTGTTTGGAAGATCTGACGAGAAATATTTAGTCTTCGGATTAACGTAATTTCAACATAATCGATAGTAGCAACCTTTCAATATGTTCTTTCGTTCAGTTTTCTAAAAGTTCTATGTAAATCAGTTAAAATGATTTTCTCATACAGTTGTCGTAGAGAATATGACTGTATATCTTTTAAAATAAAATTTAAGATTTTATCAATTTTTCTAGGCATATATATATATATGTATATACGAATGAACTATTTTGTCAGTATTTTGGAATTCTCTGATATTTTATTGGTATAAAGTAAAGGAATGATGTTGAAAATAGAGACACTCTCTCCTATCCTCTTGCTGATCTAACTTCTTTCGATGTCTTTTATTCATTTATGTTGGTTTCTTCTATTCATGTTACATCATTCATATAAAAATGTCAGCAATGTATGATGAAATTGAAATACTTAAGTGGTTTCTACTTCCTTATATACATAATAATGACACTTGTAGTATGAGCACAACTGCATTTCACCAATAACTTTTATATTATGAGAAGTAATAATTATTTGAGTTCTACAAAAATTAAGAAGCATATCGCCAACAGAAAAATTATCATCATAATTTTTGTCTGGTTAGCTACAAGATGTTTGTCCTCAATTTTTTTCATACAGACGCCAATGATGCAATATAGAAGAGTAATGAATGAGTGAAAAATATTCGTCATGTGATAGTGAGAAAAAAGAAATAACACGTACGTCTTAATGAGTGAAAAACTACATTTAATCAACATATAAAAGATGACAAGTATTTTAAAGTTTTATCGAAATACTAACGTCACTATCGTGTAAATCGTGCCGAATGAGAATTTTTCTTGCTGAAAATCTTCTCACCTATCAAATAAAACTATTTTCGACAAAGATTGATTGATGATTTATGATAATTAAAAGTCTTTAATTGATCACTGTATAGGTAATAAACCTTAGAAAAAAAGAAAAAAAAGCAAATATAAAGTAGGTGGTTGATTATCAACTATGTTTTATATGTTTGACATGTCAATGGGAATGATTTGTATTTACGCCAACGAACAAGAAATATAAGTATGTATGTTTATTTTTTTCTGACGCAGTTTTTCTTCCTCTTTCATTTAGTTTTTCCTCCCGAAAACGGCTGAATAAGCAGGTATATAAATGCAGAAAAATGGCAATCCCACGCTACCTGTATGAAAAGACATTATCAGATTTTTCATTGCTCACGACTATTTTCTTTTTCACTTACATACCTGTATATGTATATTTCTGGTTGTTTTTTTTTGTAGAGATATTTTGTATTCAATCCCTTATGCCGTATTATTCGTCAAAAATGCCGAAATTCTGTGTACTATCTAAACACATTATTTTCTTTTTATTCATTATTGCACTTGCATTATCAATTGAATTGTCACAAGCAGTACCGATGAATAAACTTCGTACAGTAGATATGGCCATATCTAATGATGATGAAGAATATCATCAGCGTCGAATACATGATCTAAACAAATTGCGACATTTTCTATTAACATCAAATGAGGAACAACGAGCTGCAAGACGCGATAAACAAAATTTTTACAAACAACAATTGGTTAGTGAAATCTGATTTTAATGAAAATAATTATGTTTTGTTGTTGCTTTTCATTATTAGATTCGTGAATATCTCAAAGCAATCAATGATCCAAATTCAGATCGGCTACAAGAAGTGAAAAGTAAGACGATTGTTTTCTTTTATAATTATTTAACTGCTTGAATGCACTACTACTTAAATACTATCTAACTCAAGCATGTTTCTACTAACACACTTAATTATTTAGAGCGAACAACATATTGTAGTATTCAAGATATCCTGCATGGATCTCTTTGCCGTCGTCGTGCTATTGATCATTGATCAACTTTTCTCTGGCTAACTAACGCACGAATAGTATTGATTTGTTTCCTCAAAATAAAATAGTTCATCTGCTTGTTACTAACAAATGTTCTTCTATTCTTCTCATGCTATCTATTATTTGCTGCTTTAGTGTTCGTATAAATGTACGATTTCAAATAAAAAGAAGATTTATTCTTCAGGCGGCAGAATAAAAAATATTGCAAGTGCAACTATAGAATTGAATTTGCTTTCTTTCGTGTATTTTTTCTGATGTATTACCAAGATAACAATTATTAATAGATTAAAAATGCTCTAATTTATTTTTTTTTGTAAAGCTTTTCATAATCACGTAGTTAGCCTATATTTAGCGAAACACAGATCCATATTCAAGCTTTATTAACAAATTGAAATTTATTGCTGGACTAACAATGAGTTTTAAAAAAAAGCACAATTTATTACATTTAAAAACCCTAATAAAAAAGAATCAAATCCGATATATATCTTTCTAGAACGTATCAAAACCTTCTGTAATTCATATGATGATGTTATGAATTCTGATCGAGCTGCATGCGGATAATGTTTCAGCTATATTGTTATTTTAATATCAACATGTACGAACTTGACCAATATCATGCATTTATATCAATTCTTTTTATTCTCTTTTGATTGTGAACCTTTTCTTCTCTTCAACTTTGTTTTATTCATGCAAAACCAACGCTTAAAAGGCCTAACATACTCTTGGTAGTCAGACTTCAATAAGGTGAATGTGAATGTGAATGTGAATGTGAATATTAACCAGCCGCCAACGCTTTCATATTTTTAACGACCCAACCGGTCGTTCTTTTTTTTATTAGTAAGCAAGTTTATTCATGTTAATGTGTGTGTTGCATTTTTTCATTTTTGCATAATTATCGCTATTTTTTATTCACCTTAATTGCAACTATTAGTAGTCTTACGACTTTTTTCATTGGTTAAAATACGATAAAAATGTGTTTATTCTTGTACTTTTATAGAACGTATTTGTTCGAGCTGGGCAGAATTCAAAACCCATCTAGCTGCTTGTTTTGGTTAAAATGACAATAACATTATTTATTTAGCAATAATTCGATTTGAAATATTTTTGTTATTTTAATGTCTTTTTTTTTATTTCACACGAAGAAAATGTCTCAAATGAGTAATTAATAACTATTCTATAATTTTAAAAAGATGTAATTGGTGTATCCGCCATTTGCTTGACAGAAAAATTTGCATCGACTATCGCATCTGAATCAAAAGTAGAACTATCAATGGTCGATAAGGTTTGCATACTAAGTGTTTTTATTTTCATATTTCGTGCGTAACGAGTTGATAATTGACGATGTTCGTCTTTTGCTGGTCCCCATTGAACATGAGGTAAACGAGCTTCTTTAATGATCTATTAGTGAAAAAAAAAATAAAAGAAATCAATGAACTATAAAAATATTTCGAACGTACATTCCATGTTCCACGATGACAAATTTCAATAAAAAAGATAAATGGAAGCCAACCAAGACATAGGATTACTACTATCCAACCGAGCGCAAGTGCCCATGATGGATATGTATAATCATCTAGTGTTATATCTTGGTAGAATAGAGAAGAAAATATGATTGTAGACTAAGACATATGTTAAATAAATTTCATGGATGAATAAAGAATAAATATAATTACAAGAAGAATAATTGGTGATATATATTTCCAACATATTTGCCAGAATTTACTTGGACGTCGTTCTTTACCTAACATTAATGCAATATCATCACAAAAATTATCTATACCTAAAGAAAAAAAAATTATTCGAGAATGATTTGTCATTAAATTGTTTTTTTTTTCTATGACCATAAATCCATGCAATACAAAATAATTCAATCACACCGATAATTAACCAAGGAAAACCACCGAGAGATTGATCAATTATATTCAAAACATACAGACCACCCTAATTAATCAAAATGTCGATGTTGTTGTCAATTTTTCAATAATAAACATACTCGAGTTACCATGAACAAGCCAAGCAAAAAAAAAACTAATGATACACAAAATCGAAATATAACAATTTTCTTCGGTGTATTTAAATATATTTTATATTCATCAATAATGCTAGCCATTATTGTTTCCATAATAGAAAACTAAATAAAGAAAAATTCATGAATTTAAAAAACGAGAAAAAAGAAATTTAATTAATTAACTTCTGAACCAAAACCAAGTGTACACATCATTAAAAAGAATAGAACACACCATAGAGGTGCAAATGGCATCATTGATAGACCTTCCGGAAAGACAACAAAGGCTAGACCAGGTCCTTTAGACAAAAAAACGCCAATTACAAATAATAAAAAATCAAACATATATTTAGTGACCTCCTTTAGCTACATCAGCAACACTCATACCCATTTTTGAAGCCATATGACCTTTAAGCAGATAAATAAATTCATTGAGTTAAGAATAATTTCTTACCTAAAACAGTAAAAATTGCAAATCCACCAAAAATACTTGTAAACCATGTAACAAGACAAATAGCCAAAGTATCACTAAATATACCAAAACAAACAAACAAAAACCAAAACGATCACCATTCTATAATTTTAAACATATCTCATACCGATAGATATTATTATTAAAATCATTAAATGACGCCATAGCAATAAGACCACCACTACAACAACTTAATGCATAAAATACTTGTGTACATGCATCTTTCCATACCTATTATGTATTAAAAACGAGAAAGAATGAATTCAACACAATATGTTTTTTTTTATTGAATATTCAAATCAACTTACAGATGGATTTTTTAATACACTGAAATTAACTGTTCCCATATAGAATTTAATACCTTCAATAGCACCACTCAATGTTGCTCCACGAATAATTAAAACAGTTAACATTACATAAGGAAATAAAGCAGTAAAATATGCAACCTATATGAAATTACAAAATCGATTACTTTTATAGCCTATCAAATAAATAATAATTTTTACTTTGCCCAATGATTGAACACCTTTTGATAATGCCAAAAAACAAATTAGCCAAGCAACTGCTAAAGCAACAACTAATTCAATAACGATACCATTTGTATTTTCGACTCCACTACTTATTTGTAGTACTCGACGACTAAGATAACAAAAATAAATTTGATCAACCTAAATATCTTTAAAAAAATCTTACTAAAAATATTCTTCACTAGGCGAACTTGTCATATCTAGAAATACATATTTTATCGACTCAAAAATAAAGATAAACAATACTTTTCATCGAAAGCAAATCAATTCGACTTAAATTAGCTAACATTCTTTTATCAGTACATAATAGTGTATTCCACCAATTATCACATGTTGACCATGGTACAATAAGTTGAAACGATGCTATTAGATAATAAAAACAATAAGCAATGAGTACCATATAATATAGACCCCAAAAACAATTTGTAGCCATTGATGCATAACCAATACCTATAATAAACATAAAAGATTAGCTGACACAATAAATTGTATTGGAAAGTATATCAATGCGAAATAAATCTACTGTAATATTCTTTCGTTACTCGTCGCATATTTTTTATTATCATTTAACATCAAACTATGTGACAGACATCAGCGCAATGCTCTTGTTCATTTATATAGTTTTCTAACAAAAACTCTACAAGTATTTTGGTCACTACTGATATTTTACTAAGCTATCGAATTTTAATGTCTATTTTCTAGAAGCTCTAGATTTTTTTAACATACGTTTCTTCGAATTTTGATTTGAAGCTTTGCGCATATAACAGACTCAATTAGACAAGCTTTCATGAAAAACTCAGCATTTTTTTAAAAGTCTCCTCGAAATGTCCAACATTCAAAAAAATACATGTTGAATACATTATTCATGGAAAAGGGTTTATATCTTAAAAGTCTTGAAATTCAGAAAGACTTTTTTTAAAAACCTCTAAATTTTTCGAAGAAAGCTAGTCTAGTTGAAATAATCGAAATTCTAAAATACGAATGTTCTAAAATCTTGAAGCTCCTAAGAAACAGAGATTAAAACTTTGATAGCTTCATCAAATCTCAATAGGAAACCAAAACCTCTTATGAATTTTTAAAAACACTCTGTATTATCTATACGAAAAAAAATGATTGAAATCGAAAAGGGAAAGTTGAAGAGGTTCCCTCATTAGTTCCGAAGTTAAAATCTTTGTGAAATTATTATGAAAATTTAAGATACATGTCTTCCCTTTCCTTTCAAAGTTCACTGTACCATATTATACATAACGTCTTTCATCACTCACATATCAGTGTATTCAAAGTCTCACACTGAAGCATATGTTACAGAATCTCTTGATTTATAACATAGGTAGATCAATCATGGTACACATGTTAATCTTCCAAAGATTGTGCTAAAATTTCTTTGTAATAGTATAAAGCAAACCTCGTAATAATGGATTGACGTTCCAAACGGCTAATGGACCAGTACTAGTGAATTGTCCTAACGTTAATTCAAGATAGAACACAGGTGCACCAATAAAAATAAGCATTAATGTATATGGTATAAGAAATGCACCTGTAATATTGAAATAAACAAGGAGAAATTATTGAATTTGTTTTACCTCCTCCATTTTTAAAACAAAGATATGGAAAACGCCAAACATTTCCTAAGCCGACAGCTACAATAAATATTTAAAAATCAATTCAATTTCTATAATATTAACACTTGCATACTGACCAAATGCTACCAATGTTAAAAAGAACTCAATAGGATTAGTCCATTGTTTACGCTAGATACCATAAAAATATTCAATTTATGAACTTTAGCTGTTGAGCTAATTGATTACTAACCTCCGGTAGAACCACCTTATTTGAATCCATCTTTTAATGTAGACTATTCTA